GTTTCAGGATTGATTATATTACATATACGTGTTTCAAAGTTGTAGGTTATTTATCCTATTCCGATTTCTTAAACCATGTCTAATCCTAAATGCCTTAGGTCGTCATCGAGCCGTTTGAGTCAAAATCGACCTCTTATTCCACCTCCACCACAAAATCTAAATCTAAACAGACCCGAATTAACCATTCTTAATTCTTGCTTCAACCAACCTGGTCATCGTCGAGATGAATTATATAATAGGTTCGTTAATTCTTTCCAATCGTACAAAATTTGGGAAGAACGTATCCCATCTATTCAAGCAATGGTTGATACGAACTTCCAATATCTTCCTATCCTCCGTTCCTGGAAGTTTGATAAACTGTGTCAAATTAAGCCCATTATTTATCACCAATTAGTACGCATTTCTACTCCAATGCGATCTGTGTCCAAAATGAGCATCGAACCGAAACTGTTGGAATTCGATCCTATCTCTTGGGTGAAGTTATTTATATCAATTCGAACACAATAACTAATGCCTTTGGTTTAGAAAATGACGATATAGATAATACCTTTAGTTTAGACAATGACGGTATTGATAATGAAAGAGACATTGTGGCTATACCCTATCATCACGAGCGATTCCTTCATTTAATGATCTCTTGGTGGTAGGTACTCCTCTCTTAGGGTCAATATTTATGGTGGATACATTGTATCTAACATAACAAGAAAATAAATTTACCACATATTATTTTTGGTGAGCTAGTAGATACCGTAAACGTTGTCCCATCTAAAAGTGTAGAAACTTTAGTTTACGGCTGTCTCTTCAGTAATATTTTTATCAAACTCGGGCTTAAGGTTTCGGTTGATATTCCCATCCCTCTCCAAAACCAAATCAATCTCACTTCCTTAAAAAATCAGGATGGAAAAAGGAATGTGACCAATGGGTTCGAACCTATGAGAAAACACCGGGAGCTAGCTCCTCACGAGCTCCACCTCCTCCAGCACCGGCAGCGGACGATGATCTGGAGCTTCAACAACTTATGCAAGATATCAACGATATTGACGATGAAGCACCCAAGGACGAGCCGACACATCAAGAGGATCAAATGCCTCCATATTTTCGATCATTTTGTGAGTCATTTGATCTAAGGTTTGCATCCATAGAGTCTCATCTAACTGCTTTGGGGGCTTAACAACGGAAGATGAACGAACGTTTAGATGCGCTCACACTCGAGATGCAAGCACACTATCCTCCTCCTCCTGATCCTCCTTTGGATGACTAGACCTATCTTGCTTTAGTTTTCTTGGATTTAGTACCTATTGTTAAAACATTTTGGATGATTGTGGATTGATGTTTTTGGATTGTTTTATTCTGGATGTTTAAATTTGTTATGGATGTTTGAACTTATATTTATGTATTTGGTTTGGTTGAATTTATATTGGCTTATTCATTTTTGCATCATTACACATGTGACCAATTTACCATTTCACATTATTTGTGAATATTGATTTATGAAACTAATGGCTAACCTTTCTCTTGATTGTGATCTTAGCAGCTTAAGTTTTAAATTTCTAAATGTCAATTGGATAAGTTTACAAAAACCTTGTTTAAAATCGTTTTAGAGTCTTTTTGATTTAACAAAAAGGGGGAGAATATAGTAAGGGGGAGTAATTTGTTTTTACAAAAACAAATTTCAAAAATGATTTTCCAAGAAATTCTTAAAATTACTCAAATGTTTTGTTATATCAAAAAGGGGGAGATTGTTGAAAACATTTTGATGTTTCGATATAACAAATTAAGGGTTATTGAATTTTAAGATTTCCTAATCATTTTTTAAATTATATTCGATTCAATTATTCGAATATCAAAATATTACTCCAAGTTTTTCAAAGATCAATTTTAATCCTTACTAAAGTGTAAAATTGTGTTTTAAACTTAAAATATTTTTAAAACAATTTTACAAAGTATTTCGAACCAAAATCAAGCCAAAAAATAATTTTTCAAAGGGATGTACCGATGCACTACATGATGCATCGATGCACACCTATTTCGAATGCATTTTGTGTACCGATGCATAAGCTATGCATCAATGCACTCTTGAATATTTTGAAACATCGAATGCATTTTGTGTACCAATACACAGAACATGCATCGATGCACTCCTGGCTCTTTGAAACATCGAATGTAATTAGTGTACCGATGCACCCCTAGTGTAACGATGCACTCCTAGTGTAACGATGCACTAAGTCTTATAACTGTCGAAATATTTGAATTTTACACATAGTGTACCGATGCACTTTGGCTATGCATCGATGCATATACGCTCCCAACTGTTTTATTTAATTGTTTTCACACAATAATGGCTCTATTGACTTCACCAATGATCCCCAACATTCAGAAGTGATCCAAGGTGTATTTAAACATGCTTAGGAGCTGTTGATCAACATCAATTAAGAAAAGAAGTTAGAGAATCAAAGAGAAAGCATTAAACCTCAAGTTTGAGCATTTCAAGCCAAATTTTCATTCAATATTCATTTTGCTTTCAAGAACACTTATTGTGTTCAATTGTATTCATTTTTTAGTTTTCTTTCTTTGTTCTAGAATTGTGCAAACATCTTACCTTGTGAGGTTTTTTCTGTAAGTTTGCAAATTTGTGTATTTCTCTTTGGGAGAGAGTGTTCTCAAGAATTTTGGGTATAATTCTTGAGGGAGTTGTAAGGTTACTCTTTATCCTCAAAAGAAAGAACAAATTAGTGAATTTGTTGGAAAATCCTTATTGTGGATAGCTAAGGTAGTTGATGTAGACTTTGGTTGAGAAAGTCGAACAACTCGAAATCGCTGTGCAAATATTTTTAATTTTTTGCAAAAGCTTCCACCAAAATTTGTATTGCCAATTCACCCCCCTCTTGGTCGATTCGTCGATCGATTAACTCAACAGTTAGGTAGGTCGAATACCTAAAAATACATTTTAAAATGATTTTAAGAAAAATAATTTTAAAAGATAAAAATGATACGCGTTTAACCAAAAATTTGTTTTGAAAAAGGTTCGAGAGTCGATTACATATGAAAAAAAATTAGTATCCCACAACGCCCGAAATCGGTACTTAAGCAATACGTCATCTAAAAGTTGAACTTGGCAAATTTAAATATACATTTAAATTGTGATCCTTTTTAGAAAAATTAAAGGGAATATTTTGTACAAACAATCCTCGAGAATACCTTCCTATTTAGTTAAGGAGGTATTTTTATAGATTCCTTGTACAAAATAATATTACCATAAATTTTTAGATACAACAAATACATAAAATAGATAAAAACAAAATCATTTAAAACGTAAAAGGTATTATTTTATTCGAGCAATTTTTAGAAACACGCTCCTTGTTAGTTAAGGGGTTTTTCATAAATTCCTCATATAAAATAATATTTAAAATTATTTCAATTAGCAAAAAAATTACAAACATGTAAATGAAGGATTAAAATAGTAAATAAGATAACTTTAGGGATTAAACTACGAAACTAACAAGAGATCAAGGAAAACAATGCAAATATTTTACATGTTAGGCACTTCAATCAGAAATAAACCAATTTCAAAAATATGGAAATTTCTAAAATAAGGTATTCGAATATAAAAACTAAATAACAAGCCAGAAGGGATTAAAATGGAATACATGACAAATTTAAAATACAAGTTAAAATAAACAATAACTAGGGGGAAATCATTCATTTTACCCAAAGATATCCATTCATTAAATGATTAAAACACGAAGTTACAAAGTTTAGGGGACCTAAGACGAATTGACCCCCACGCGAAAAAATATTCCCAGGTCCCTTGCTAAATGACGTATTTTAGCGTAGGGTATAAATACCTAAAAAAACCGGCCATTTGGCCCCTAAACCCTCATTCTCCTATTCTCTCTCTCCCTCTCTCTAAAAGAGAGAATTCTCTCGCTTCTCTTTTCTTTCTCTCGCAGAAGAAGGCCGCATCCTCTGACCACCGTTCGCAGGAGTCCTCCGTCGCCATCCACGACGGTCGGAGTTCAGAAAACAAACCCAAAACAATCCCTTTTTACCCTAAACCCGAATCCAAACACCCCTATGCCTAAAGACTCCCAAAACGTCCTAGATCTATAGATATACCTTCGGTTTTAAAGGCTCCTCATTTCTCTCCGGGGACGAGAAGTATGATTTTGGTGGTAAGTTTTCTTTTTCCTCTCATTTTGCTTTCAGAAGTATCAGTTTCTTTTTTGTTTGGTAGATTCCCTCATTTTTTTTAGCCCCGAAAAGCTTCCTTTTTTCTCTCTCTTTTTTTTTCTAAACCGAATGTCTTTCTCTATTTTCTCTTCTGGTTTCATGCTTGACGTGTTGATTTTGGTGATAGCCCTCTGTTACTGAAAGGATAGAATGTGATTGCCTAGGGATTTTGCTTTAGACTTGTTCTCCATTTTTTATTGGAGTTTTTGACTTGATTAGCTTGATGGTTAACTGATTTACTGCAGGTGGATGAGATGACTTTGGCAGTAGTGACAGTGGTAGTGATGGGAGATCTAACTAGGTGTCATCTGGATCGTTGGATCTGGATAGATCCAACGGCTGAACCAAGTTGGCGACTGAAGGGTTTGGATGATATCCTAGCTTCAAGTGATCTGGACCGTTGGATGGGTTCAGATTTGATGGTTAATGTTGGGAGGTATTGGAAGAGTTACCAGAAATCCCAATATGTTTAGGGTTTTGATATAATTGGATCGGGTCGGATCCTGGGTTTCGGGTTGGATCCTGGGTTTTGGGTCTTGTAACTGGGCTCCAATTGGGTTTTGTTGTTGAGTCTGATTTGGGTCCACCAAGTGGGCTTAGTGATTAAATTGGGCCAAACCGATTGGGCCAGTTTGATGCTGTAATTGGGCATGTAATGTAAAATTTAATTATTTAATAATAATAATAATAATAATAACAAAAGTAATAATTATAATAATATAACTATTGGGACTAAAACCACTTTCTACAATCTCATTAGGGTGTCTAACAGGCTTCAGTGTACGAATTGTATACACAAAGATGACTGAAATTGCAGCAGGAAGCCATCCGATAAGAAGGATGAGAGATTTGGAATCATTTCCGTATACAGCCAAGTAAATCCGTGTCATTACAGCTCCACTGAGTCCAGTATAGCCCTTCAACAGACCCAACATTGAACCCCTGCTTTCAGGGAAGTTCTTTACACTGGTGACCAGAGCACCAGTATTTGCAAAATTCTGGGAATTGCCCCCTATACATATGTAAATGCACATTTGCCAAACCTTGGGTTTGGCTATTCTGCCGGTCACGGCTAACCAAATCATGAAATAGCCTCCAAAGTTGAATGCAGCGCCGAGTAGAACGAACCAAGTGGGAGTTACCTCAGCAATAAGGCCAGAAATGACACCAACGTTGGCACCCATATCCTTTGAGAAGCCTAAGAGATTGAGTGTGGTCTGATCATAATCCAGAGTAGCTTTGATCTCTTTGGAATAGGTTCCAAATAGATATGTTGCACCAGCATCAGCCATGAACAGGAAAGATGCAAAAAGTGCAAACCATCGTCCTCGAAGGAACTGTACTGTGAAAGGCAACAGTTCATTGGCTTCGAGTCCTCTTCTCATCGTCATCACAGTCGGTGGAAATGGAATCAAGGGAATCGACCAAGAGGAAAAGAAGAAGAAAAGGGGATCTAATTATCCAAAAATGAAAAGGAAAAGAAAAGAAAAGAAAAGGGGATCTGTTGAAATAGACTTGGCAGGGTTTGAGTAAAGAGTTGTTGAAAAGCAAAGTATTGTAGATAAGGACAACGATTGAGGATGACTGATAAAGCATGGTTTTCATAATCGTACCGGTTAGTGAATCGGTCATGCTATTGATTTATTGGTTCAATCGATCGAATCAATCTGATCGGTCGAAAGAATCGGACGACGTCATAATTATTTAAAAAATTAAATAAAAATATTAAAAATATTTAATAAAAAATAATTTTTTATATCACAAGTTATATTCAAAGCAAGTCATAATATATATAAGTTAAAAACCATAAGATCAAGTGAAACAAAATGATTCAAATTAACTACAACATAATATTTAAGGTAAAACATATTAAATAATAAATATAATTATATAACTATAATTAAAAAATAAATTTGGGGTTAAAAAAATCATAACAAAATTATATAACTATAATTATATAACTATTCTTTCACTTCAATCAAGTTCGAATTTTAGGCTTCAATCGAGCTTCTAATTTTTTTTTGAGTTCAAGCCTTTTTGAGTTCAAGTTTCAATATTATATTTCGAGTTTGAGTTGAACTTGATAATTTTTAGCTTGTGAGTTTGAGTTGGGTTGAGTTTACTTTTAAAGTTTTCAAGTTCGAGTCTAGCTCAGCAATACTCGAGTTCGACTTGGCTCGTTTAACAAACGACGTTGTTTGGTTTATTTTTTTTTTTAAAAAAACAAAAATCCCGGTTTTTCCCGGTTTTTGGCCGGTTCGATTCGAACGGTTCAACGGTTCTAACCAGTTCACTAATAACGGTTCAACCGATTTAAATTAAACTGGACTAAATAACGGTTCCCGATTAAACCGGTTGAACCGACCGATCCGGTCCGATTTTCAAAACGGAGCTGATAAGTATGGTAGCCCACGTTATATAAAATTTACAGGGGTAAAAGTCTTTTTTACACGCCGGTTGTTTGGTGCTTTTATCCAAATATGGGTGGTCAAAAATTAATTTCGCATCTAATATTTAGTTTTAATTTACTCTTGACATTTTTTTATCATATGTAGTAAAAACACTACTCATAAATGTTTTTTTTTAACTTCTTTTGTAAGAAAAGTCTTTGTAAATCAACAATCTTTGGAATAATTGATTAAATTTTTTTAATTAGAGGAGGAACTTTGGATATTTATGTTGGTATGCTTGTAGCATGGGAACCTGGTTACAGAAAATTGGTGATTGAATTCAATAGTAAAGAAGCGATTTGTTTGATTCAAGATTCGGCGGTTCGGTAAGGAACTCCCACTTTTTTTTCTTCTTTTTTTTACATATTCGAGAGGGCGGTCTCATTATCACGGGAAGTTATATAGTAATACACTTTTAATATACACTTAAAAAAGACATTGTTGATTTTATTATTATTTAAATAGTAAAATCGATAAAAAATTACTTAAAATATTATTATTTTTATTTAAAATATCAATGTTTTTTAATATTTTCGGTAAAGTGTCTAACAATAACAAAATCAATAGAAAAAATAACAAAATCGATATAAATAATAATGTTTCTGATAATTTTTTTATCAATTTTATTTTTTAAATAATAACAAAACCGATATTATCTTTTTTTAGTTATATATTAAAACTGTCGCACGTTATCATCTTTCCCGTCATCACTGGGTTATCAAATTCCAGCTTGTGCGACGTGAAGGGAATCAGGTAGCTGATAAAATGACTAAAATAATCTCATCTGATAATTTTGAACTTTTCCAATCTGCTGATCCGTCGTCGTTAGAGGTCCGTGGTTTGCTGCTTGCTGATAACATTTACTAAGTTGTAATCCTAGTTTAATTTCATTATTGTACCCAAAAAAAATCAGTTTAAGTTTGGGTTCAATTCCAGCAAAATTTTCATTCTCTCATCCTTAAATAGAAATTAATTGTAAATGTCATTGTACTGTAAAAATCATTTATAAGTGAACTACACATATCAACACCGTAAACTAACACGTTACTATCAATCAACAACATTAAGTCAACAAAAGACTAAATTAAAAACGAGAATAACAATACTTATTTGGATAGATTACAAGGTAAAATTACCTCCTAAACCTATAATCAAATTGAAAATTGGGTTAGATCAAGCTAGGCTTTAAATTTTGAAATTGAAACACAATTTTTTTTCATTCAAATGTTTTATAGGCCAAATATTTTTATTTAAATCCTCTTAAATACCCTATAAGGTTGGAGCTAACCCCGTTCTTAAACCAGTCAAGAAGGAAACACGATTCTTTTAATATAGTAAAAAGCACATTGATTTCCAAACAGAGAAGACCTAAAATAAATAATTCCCAAAAGAGAGAGGTAAAATCTAAGAAATTCATATAATTCGGTAAGAAAATTTGGTCACCCTATTTTTTTTCTCAGTTTGACTTGTAGTCTTTCTTTATCCACTATTCTTCCGATAGAAAATTAATCTATTAATTAATATATTAATTGATCGAATGGTTAAGGATGCTTATGTTGTTTTACCTTATATAAGTTCGAACTTCGGCATTTTCCTTAGAAATGTAGAATATCTCCGCTTAATAAAAAAGAAATGCTTAATATAAAATCAAGTGTCAAGACTATATAATTTTTCTTAAAGTTGTGCCTAAACTTTTTTTTTGTCAATCTAAGTGTCTAATGTTACAAACATCATCACTTTAGGTGCTTCGATCGTAACAATTGTTAATAAATTCTGTTAAGTGACTTGCGTCGCATTTATATAATTTTGAAAATTTTATTTTTAAAAAAGTAAAGATATTATTATATTTAAAACCCTAATTTTTCTAAAATTATTATAAAAAAACCCCAAATCCATAAAAATCCCTATAAACCCCAAATCCCTCACTCTAATTAGAGATGGGCATGGAACCCGAATCTGATGAGTTCCGACTCGACTCGATCAGGTCGGATTATTTTAATAAAAAAATTGGTTCGGGTTCAGGTCGGGTCGGGTTTTATATTAAAATTTTCAGAGTAGGGTCAGAGTCAGGTTGGGGGCTAAAATAATCCTACCCGACCCGCATAGTTAATGAATAATTATTTTTTAAATTTTTTTACTTTCCTATTCCGATAATTTTTGGTTCCAGAGGTCGTGACTTCCAACAATTATTTTAGCTATTATTTTAACACATTTTAATGCTTTTTCACGGCTATTCCCCTCCTTTTTTTCACAACTATACTATAATGGTGTTTGAATAATAATAATAATATTATGACAACTAATTATATACTATATAAGGACAAAAGAAAGAGACAAAAATAATAAAATTTATTCCTCAATTTGGCTTCATGTAAACAAGTAAAGCGAGAAAGCTCAGAAAAGCACTAATGGACAGTTTGACTTTTCACGCCGCGTTGGTTCCAACAATTATTTTAATTATTTTTTATATTTTAAATAAAAAATATTGGGTTTTAATAAATAAAAATTTTAATCGGATCGGGTCACAGGTGGAGGTCCCCTTCTTCTCGAGTCGGGTGGACCAAAAATCCGACCCAACCTGACCCATGTCCATCCCTAACCCTAACCCTAGTTTCTATCTTGCCAGCCATGATTCACCTCCCTTTTTATAGACATTGTGTCTAATGTTACAAACATCATCACTTTAGGTGCTTCGATCGTAACAATTATTAATAAATTCTGTTAAGTGACTTGCGTCGCATTTATATAATTTTAAAAATTTTATTTTTAAAAAAGTAAAGATATTATTATATTTAAAACTCTAATTTTTCTAAAATTATTATAAAAAAACCCCAAATTCATAAAAGTCCCTATAAACCCCAAATCCCTCACTCTAACTAGAAATAGGCATGGAACCCGAATCCGACGAGTTCCGACTCGACCCGATCAGGTCGATTTTTTTTATAAAAAAATCGGGTTCGGGTTCAGGTCGGGTCGGGTTTTATATTAAAATTTTCAGAGTAGGGTCAGAGTCAGGTTGGGGGCTAAAATAATCCTACCCGACCCGCATAGTTAATGAATAATTATTTTTTTAATTTTTTTTACTTTCCTATTCCGGTAATTTTTGGTTCCAGAGGTCGTGACTTCCAACAATTATTTTAGCTATTGTTTTAACACATTTTTCACGGCTTTTTCCTTCCTTTTTTTCACAGCTATACCATAATGGTGTTTGAATAATAATAATAATAATAATATTACAGCTAATTATATACTATATAAGGACAAAAGAAAGAGACAAAAATAATAAAATTTATTCCTCAGTTTGGCTTCCTGTAAACAAGTAAAGCGAGAAAGCTCAGAAAAGCACTAATGGACAGTTTGACTTTTCACGCCGCGTTGGTTCCAACAATTATTTTAATTATTTTTTATATTTTAAATAAAAAAATATTGGGTTTTAATAAATAAAAATTTTAATCGGATCGGGTCACGGGTGGAGGTCCCCTTCTTCTCGAGTCGGGTGGACCAAAAATCCGACCCAACCTGACCCATGTTCATCCCTAACCCTAACCCTAGTTTCTATCTTGCCAGCCATGATTCACCTCCCTTTTTATAGACATTGTCCTTGTTGTCGCTCTTGTCGTCAGGTCTCATGAAGTCATGCAAATGTTGTGATTTTTCCATTTCGTTCGTCGAATTTAAATCGCAACTGGGGTTCATCGTTGGTTGTTCATCGTGTGGGTGGTTGTCGGCTGGAGGCACAGTCGGAGGTAGGTTTAGTCGACGGCAACAACAACGGTAAAGGTCGGCAGTCGACGTAGGTATAGGGATTAAATTTAAGGTTTACAAAATTTAGGGGTTTAAGATTTCCAAAAAATTTGGGTTTTTTAAATATATAATTTTAAGTTTTTTTAAAATAAAATTTTCAAAATTATTTGAACACAACACATGTCACTTAACGGTGC